CTCCCGCCCGTCCCCCGGCAGCAGCAGGGCCCTGTGCCACCTCCTGCCGCCCTGCCCAGACCACGGGGCATCTGGGGTTCTGGGGACATCACCGCAGAATCACAGGATACTCATGGTTGGAAGGGACCTTTGAGATCATCGAGTCCAACCAACACCCCCCACGAACCCACAGACGGACCCAACCCAACATTCCCAGGCACTAGAGCATGCCCTGAAGTGCCACCTCTACACGTTTCTTGAATAACCTCCAGGGAAGGGGATTCCACCACCTCCCTGGGCAGGCTGTTAAGTGGCTGACCACTCTCTCAGTAAAGTCATTCTTCCCAATATCTAATCTAAACCTCCCCTGCCCCAACTTCAGACCATCTCCCCTGCTCCTGTCATTGCTCCCTTGGGAGAAGAGGCCAACCCCCACCTCTCTACACCCTCCTTCCAGGGAGTTGTAGAGGGCAAGGAGGTCCCCCCTCAGCCTCCTGCAGAACGGAGTGCAGAAAAAAGGGCAAAAGTCCTGTAAGCAACACCCCAAGTGGAGCTGGGACAGATAGGGCCACAGGAAAACTCCATAACAGCCAAAACAGCAAAACTCTTTTTTTTTTTTTCATATAGTTTCAGGAGAAGCTAAAACTTCAAATGGCCACGTGCGTCACAGACCGCATCACCTAGAAGAGCTCCATAGTCACCCCGGAACTATCTGGAAAGAGTGAGATCTTACAGAAGTGACACAAAAGTGCCCAAATTACATCACTGTCCTCCCTGCCACAAAGCTCCTCGTCCAGGCGCTGCAGTGGCTTCTTCCTTCTCGTTGCCACCTGGTCCACCAGAGCTCTTCCCACAGCCTTCTCCAGTGGCTGGCAGCTCACTGAGGAGCTGGAAGTGCTCAAAACGCTGCCATCAGCCACAACCCCATCAGATATGCAGATTTCTGGGGTTTTCCAGTAAAATAGCGAATAAGAGAGCGCTAATAATTGACCCAAGTGACCCTTTTTCAGTGAAGAGAGACAACTCCTCCTCCTTTATACACAGGATTTACGCCTATAGTGTTATAATTTATGACTGCAATGTGAGGATCAATTTATATTGTTACGTAGTTCTTGTCCTGTGTTGCTGAAAGAACAACCCAAACCATTCTATTGGGTTTCCGTTTTAGGAAAAAAAATAGAAAAATCCACCTTGCAGAAATGTCCTCTTCAGCAAATTTTAAATCTCTGTCCTGGGAGCAGCGTTTTAGGAGCTGGGTGCTGAGCACCCAGCTGGAGAATTCATTCATCTCGCTTTGCAGGTGACACAGGAGCAAAATCTGCCCTCACTTTTCATCACTGACTTTTATGGGGCTGCCCAAAGGTAACGCAAGGGCAGAGGCAGCTGAAAAAATGTAGCTCTCTATCTCAAGCCATAACTAATGAAAAGCACTTACGCACACGTTAAATAAGCTGCTACAGAAAGCCACTGATTCTAAGAAATTTTCAGTCCAAACTGGACCTTCCATAGCTTGGTTCTCACTAAAGCCTAAATTTCCAGCAGATGTGAAATAAGTGGAAATAAAACCACCAAAATATAGGAAAAAATCCTCTGATGAGAAGGGGATTCCCTGCAGGGCACAGCGAGGACAGGGACCGGCCACCTTCCCCATGGGGCACTGGGAGAACCGCACGCAAGGATCTGAAACACATTTTTATGGAAACTGCTCATTTCCATAGCACTACATTTAGTATTATTAACATTTGCTTCTCAGTTTATTATTTTTAATTCTTCATCACTTTTAAATCACATAAGAATTTGAGCAAAGCAAAACATCTGTGGTATGGTTTGATGCACTGTTTTATAGATCAGCATGAGCAATTTGAAAGGAGTTTGAAAAGGATAAAATTGTATTCCAGCAACAAAAACAATGCCTTTTAAAGCGTATTTAGCAATTGGCTCTGTCACACGTAGAGTGAGGGAAGCAATGATAAAAACCTCTGCTCTGATGAAATGGGAACCTCTCCCGGTGCCTGCTGTCGGCGGGTAACGCAAAGGCCACCCAAGGTGGGGTTAAAATTCTTCATTTTAATTAAATCTTCTGGCAGTGCACTGAGCAAAACGTTCAAGTAGGTGTCACCTTTTTCCCTCGCTCAGAGCGCCTCACAACCCGCTCCTTAACCCGCTCCTTAACCCGCTCCCCTCAGGTCGGCCCCGCCCCGCCGCAAAATGGCGGCCCCGCATCTATCCCGCCCCGCCCAGAAGCGGCCACTCGCTCACGGCGATTGGCCGTGAGTGAAAGGCTCCGCCCACAGGCGGCGTTGCGAATGGCCGGCCGCCCTGCGGTCGCTAAGGCAACCGCCCCATCCTCAGCTCCTATCGGCCGAGCGGGGCGGGGAGGGGCGGCGGTGATTGGCGGCGGCCGAGTGTAGGCGGGACGGGAGGCGGCTGGGGCCCGGCCGCTGGCAGACAGCAGACATGGCAGCTGGTGGTGGCGGCGGAGGCTCGGGGGCCGGAGGACGGCGCTGCCCGCCGGCTGTCTCCTTTCCCCGGGAGCTCCCCGCTGCCGGGCGGGAGGGCCGGTGTGAGAGGGGGAGGGCCCCGGGGCCTCCTCCCAAGCGCTGGGCAGGGCTCTGAGGGCGGGCCCGGCCGGGGGGACGCTCTGCACAGGCATCGGCCCAACGTGGGGCTCGATGGGGTGGATTCTATTATTAATTACACTTTTGGTTCCACCTGGGGGAGGTTTATTTCAGCCTTCAAGACACTTTCAAAGGAAAGTTTCAACTTTCGAAGGAAGTGGGAGGATCTTACCCTTTCCCTTGAACAACCTGATATAATTTGAACCAGATTTCAGATTAGTGTGTGGCATTGCAACTACCAAGTAACACCAATTACTTGTTGACCTTCAGTCAACAACAACCTTGGAGCTGGGATCCCAGTTAGGGTTATTTGATGGGAAATGATCCTCTATTCTTCCTTCCTGGACATTCTGCTAATGTTCCCTTTCAGCCTCCTCCTTTGATTTTGCCAGAATAATTCTCTCCTTGTGAGACACTACAATATTCAAAATTACTTGAAAAATCTTTTCAATCTGGATCCTGACTTTCAATTATTGTTTCTATTACTTCAGCCACTTTCTCAGGATCCTCCTTGTTATGTTTCCACCATTTCCTTCCAGGCCTTTAAATCCTGTATTGAAAATGGTACCTTTACCCACATTGGCCCATCTGCTCCCACTGCTCCCTCAAGGGAGCCTGAATAAAAAAAAAGAAATTGCCCTGTCTTGTCCTCCCTGCTATAGGGCAAAAATCTTCATCCCTTACCTATGCTACTTGTCAAATAACATCTTGACACAATGAAAGACCAATAATAACCAAGGTTATTAAGCAGGCATTCTTTATTTGTGGCACCAGATGCAAATTCAGGGTTATAGTACAGCAATACATGCATATTCATATTATTTTCCATAATCATTTAACATATTCATAATCTTTCCGAGAACTCATTACCATAGGTGTCCACCCCTACTCGCACGTGCAGTGTATCTACCTGGTGGTCGACAAGGACATTCTGGTGGTCTTTTGATGAAGGCTTATAGTCTTCCTTGGCTTTAAACTTTTGACCTTTGTAGTCTTGCTTCATGGGATTCAGCCCAAACTGGTTTTGTGCAGCTACGTCAGCTTTAGCAGGCTCATTACTTCCTTATCTCTTAGGTTGTTTTGCTCCTTACAGTTTTACTAAGCTATCTTTGTTTCACAAGCACAAGTGTGTTAGCAGTTTCCCCAGGCAGGGTTAGTTCTGTGTCCTTTCGCTAGACATACGCTTCCCTGTTAGTCTTCCCACATCAGTACCTTCTCAAGTTTTTTATTCCCTGGCTCTATTACACTTTTGAAGTTTTGTATTCCTCGAGGCTGAGGGAGCTGGGGGTGTTCAGCCTGGAGAAGAGGAGGCTGAGGGGAGACCTTACTGCTCTCTCCAACTCCCTGAAAGGAGGGTGTAGAGAGATGGGGGTCGGTCTCTTTTCTCAAGTCACAGGCGACAGGACAAGAGGAAATGGCCTCAAGTTGTGCCAGGGGAGGTTCAGGCTGGATATTTGGAAAAATTTTTTCACTGAAAGGGTTATCAGCCCTTGGAATGGGCTGCCCAGGGAGGTGGTTGAGGCCCCATCCCTGGAGGTGTTCAAAAGACAGGTTGATGTAGTGCTGGGAGGTCTGGTTTAGTGATGATGCTCCTTGTTTGTTGTGTGGGTGTCGATATTTGTCAGTTGGGTTGACGGTTGGACAAGATGATCTTTAAGGTCCCTTCCAACCGAGAAGATTCTGTGACTCTACTTTTAGGCTTGACGGTTTCACCACAGCGCCAGGAAAGGGCCTCAACCGCTACTGAGGGACGCTTACAAAATGGCGGCGGCTTCCTCTGGGCCGCGCGCCGCTCCTCTGCGCACGCGCCGGCGCCTCTCGCGCGGCACTGCACACACGCGACGTCCCGCCTTCCCCCACTGCCTCTCGCGCATGGTCACGTCACCCCGCCCTCTCCGCCGCGCCGCCCGCTCCCTGATTGCCCTGCTCTTCGCGCCCTCCCTTCCTATTGGCTAGCGCCCTCTTTCCCATTGGCCGGCGCCTGACGGGCTGTCCCCGCCCACCCCCGTGAAGCGGGAAGCTGGGTTTCCCCCCGGTAAACAAACGGGCAGCGCCATTTTCTTACCTGCCCGCGCCTCAGCGCTGTTCTCATCCTGCCCCACCGCCGGTGCCAGCTCGGCCCGGTTCCTCCGCGCGGTCTCTTCGGGGGTGCCCAGTCCTCACAGCCCGGAGGCTTTGCCGGAGCCGCCGTGGGTACAAGTGACCGGGAGAGATGGAGACGGGATTCGGTGTTGGGAGCTCGGTATGCCTGTGGTGCAGTAATAATAAAATGTAAAAATAAATAAGTAAATAAATAATTAAAAATAAGTAAAAAAAACACAAATGGCTTTGAGTCCTGTTACTGGGCGTTGAGCTCCACGCCAGTAGCATTATCTTAAGGATTAAGATGCTTAAGATGCAAAAATAGTGTGTTTTTTTTCTGTAAGCTGAAGGATATAACGCCATTGCGGGGGAATTTGGGGGCTTCCAAGGGAAAACTGAGGTGTCCTATGAATTTTGGGGCGCCCCGGGAAGGTTCTGGGGTGTCCCCAGGGATTTTAGGGTGCCCCGGGGGGACTCTGGGATGCCCTGGTCAGGATTTCGAAGCATCCCCGTGAATTTCGGGTCCCTCCCGGTGTATGCCTGGGGGTTTTGGGGTGCTGCGGACCCCAGAGCACCCCCCGAATCTTCTTCACCTTCCTCCGGTGAAGAAGATTCCTCACCCCCAGGATCAGGCCCTCGGACGCCTCGGGTCCCCCCCCGACCCCCCCAAAATCTTGAGTCTCCCCCCGGGATGAGCCCGAGGCCGCCCCGTGTGAGGAGTCGGTGCCTCCGCTGCTGCGGCACCCACGGGCTCCGACCCCACAAAAGAAACAACCCTCATTTCTTGAGGAAGTAACGACACTCCTAAGGCAGGGAATGCTGTATGGGGGCGTAAAAGCAGAAAATAAACATGATTATATAAAGGCAAAAATTAAAACATTCATAGTTCGCAACCCCGCTCTGTCGGGGCATGTTCCAGCTTGAGGAAAAAAAAAAACCACCACCGAGAGACAAAAGCTACGTTAAAAAAAGAGAAATTAAAAATGCATTAAATAAAAGTGTAAAAAAATACGTATTTTAAATGTTTTCGAAGGGGCTGGTGAGGAGCCACGTGGGTTGGGGGGAGGAAGAGGCAAAAGTGGGATAAACCCCCCCAAACTAACACTAAAAGAACAAAAAATAATTTAAAACAAAGCAAAATGATACTTGAGAGGTTAAAACAAACTAAAAATAAAGAAATAAGGAGAAAAAAGGACCCTTATGGAACCGGGACCGCCCCCCCTCCGGCTCGTTCCCGCCGCCACCCCCCCC